TATCGTGGTAGTAGACGTGATGCTGCTCCTTGAAGACTGGTAGTAGTAGCAAGCATTTTGCCTTTTTCGTTAGTTGCTTTATGTGTTTGGATTCGCTGATCATGAGAGCTGATATGTGAGCTCTTGAAATTGCGAGGTGTAAAAGAGATTAATCGGAAATAAGGTTTCCACAGCGATTCACCTTAAGCATGATTTGCTTTGTGGGAGAGGATGAATGTCGCGCTCGCTATACGTAGCCGAAGAGCATTTGTGCCTAAGTTTGTGGCCTACATGATGTTGCGCAATTATTATTATTTTAGGACCATAGTCAGGTCGTGGCGCATGGCCACGGTTGTTCGGCGAATTGAAAAGGAGATAACACGTTTTAAAAGGCAACAGAGTACTTAAAAGTTGTGCAGTATTTGTTCCGTAATGCTCGATTATGAACGAAAATTTTGTGATAGGATAAACGCTCCCTAAGTTGCGGTATGTTAGAAGCGTTAGGTTCCTATAGTTGTGTATGGAGACTCCGTACACAACTATAGGAACCTAGCGTCTCTAACGTGCCGTAACTATAGGAGCGTTTACCCTAGTCGTCGCCGATACTTAGACAATCGCAAGTGAGATGGTAATGCACGATATGGGACATAATTCAACATGTAAAGGGCTCGGTTGTATAGTCCAACCGTTTTTGCTTAATGAGCAGAAGACCGTGGGTTTCATCCCAGGCCACTTTACAATACTGAGGAGTCTATTTACGCGCTGCAAGGTGCGTGAAAGAGTTCGACACAATCGGTGTTGACTCGGGTGTTGATGTTGGCTCGCTTGCAACTTTTTTTTTGTGTTTTCGAAAGAAATTGATCGAAAGTGTACCAAAAGTGCTTCTGAACGTGTTTCGCGGTTGGGAGTGGTGAAATTCGTAAATTCGCGGTTTATGTTCAGTGAAAATTCCGTACCCCAAAATTGCTCACCGCGTTCCCTTTTTTTGCCGTTCGACGACGACGGGCATGCGAGAGAAATCATGCGGGGCTTATTGTAAGTAAAAGTGACCTCGTGAATTACCAGGCATTCTGAAATGGGTCACTGGAGCTGCAATAGAGCTAACACCCGGACTAAACCTGCTTTAATTTAAGGGTAATAAAAAGCAGTTTTCTTCCATAATAACACTGCTGGACAGTGGGGGTTAGATTGTACACAAACACACACACACAGGCCACTTTTTTTTCCTTTGGTTTGTTTTTTTCCGTCGATCTTGTTTTCCGTGCTGAGCACCAATGCTACCGACGTGCCAGGAAGGCAGCTCCCACACCTGGACCCTACCTATCGACCCATCAACTCATGAACCGGGGACCAACGGATTTACTTCCCTTCCGAAGGAAGGCGTGATCAGACATGTTATGCCTCAGAACATCCCGGCGGCGCCGACTGGTATTGAACCCAGGCCTGCTGGGGTGAGAGGTAATCACGCTTACCACTACACCACCGGCGCCGTTATCACACAGGCCACTTAACAATACTGAGTTGATAGGGTCATATCGTTTGCCTACCAGGCATTAAAATATCGCAAGTCTTATTTTCGTCAATTTCGGAACTTAACAACGAACTTAACCTACTTACAAAATCTCCATTTTGTCTAAGATTTTGTGACAAGCAATGCATTAGGTATAGGAAAAACGCCACGATAGGTGGGGGTGGGGGGTAAATTTCTCCTCGATTTAGCGTGACATAATTAATGCATGGGCCCTAAGCTCTTATTCTCTCTCTTTATACCAAGCTTTGCGTCGGTCACGAGGGTTGCGATTTAGCGTTACTTTAAATCTATTTAGATTTGAAAATCTTTTGGGTGTGCACCTAGGGGTGCTAAGATGGTATTTTTTTTCCAATGTAATCGCATTTATTTAAGATAGTTCCAGTCAGGCCAGTGATAAGGCCTATTCCAACAGCAGCGTTTGACAGTAGGCAGCATGTCCCGGGCTCAAATCGTTTATTTTGCTGTGCTGGGCCCGCTGTCACGGTATAACATGTTGCTTACGCGCCTGCCACTGGGCTGGTTCCAGTGCACCAAAATTGATGAATTTCAGGTTTTCGGTTCCATTTTACATGCAGATTACGAATATGAAATTACCTCAATACACCTAAAGAACCCAATTGTATAACCACAGACAAACAGACGTAACTCTTCATTAGGTATCTTCGTTCACGCATTTAACGGTTGATTTGATTTTTATCAGTTCCGCGACCTACTCGCCGCAGCGCTGGCATCGGATCACTTTGACGTTTCTATACATTCTATAGAACTTTAATGCAATATTTTTTGCGAGTTAGCGAGCAAGCATGTTTTCCGCGAGAAGCCCGAGAGATGTCGTTACTGAGGTCCTATGTTTGGAGATACTATGTTTTCAAGAAAAACTTTTTCAAAGAGTTACGTCTGTTTGTCTGTGGTATAACAGTAAAGTAGGGATCACTAATAAAAATAACCATAAAAGTAAGCTTAACGACGTGTTTGGGGTATCATCCAAACCATTAGTGGAATAGTTTACCCATCCAGGATACAGTTAGTTCGTGGTATTTGTTTATTAGGGATAGGTTACAGCACAATGGGTGCAACTACTACAAGAAGATGCAGGCGGGAAAATGAAGAAAGGATTTTTCTATTGGGATATAGGATGGAGGGATGGAAAAGCAAAGGGACAGAGGTCAGATAGCCCACGAACCACCCGCCATTCCCCATAACTGTCCAGGCGTTCGCGTGTAAAAGGTGTCGAAAAGTTAAAGTGCTTAAAATAGCCAAACAATAAGTGAGTGGTAGGTACCTACACCGAAAATAGTTTTCATGTAGCTTCCATTGGAATCGCAAATGATTTTCATCCATAAACAAAATTAATGAAATTCATCTGAATTTCACATAACATTTATGCGATCATGTTAATTTTATATGATTTTTCATATGAATTTCATTGGCCTCATAATATTCATGTGATTTGTGGTGAGATTTTCACCTATGTGATCACATGAAAGCTACGTGAAATTCACATGGTTTTCATCCATTAGATAGGGGAATTTACGTATTATCGTCAATCTAAGCAGCGTCCGCACTTCTATTAGCATTTTTTTCAGCGTCACGCACATATATGACGTGTCTGTTTGTTTACATTCATCTGCTACTTGCTTCTCTATCCATTCCAATCGACAGAATTTTTCAAAACGGTTTGAAAGCTTTTTTACAACGCTTCAAACTTCTCAGGTGAGTGTGACTATTGCCGGCAGTCTCTTTTTCTTCGGCAACCTTCCCATTAGAACTGCGTGTTAACCAGCTGTTCTATTATCGGCAACTCGAAATCAGCCCAATTTTGTAGTGCGTATGCTTCATTTGAAGAAAAATCTGGCATAATAGGATTTCTCGGTCGTACAAATATAATCAGATTGAAGCTGAAAGACTAAATAATCGTTTGGATACATTCAGGGAAGGGTGTTGATGGGAAAACATAGTGAAATTATCGTTTAAATTTTGGTTGCCGAAAACAGTCAATGTGTGCCGAAGCCGACATTTACCCTATGTGATAAATTTTTTCGAGTGTACTACTGAATTCGAGTGGCGATTTGCTGCACCACAGCTCAATTCAGGACGTTTTGTGTTACCGTTTTTTTAGACACCGCCATTTTGTCCGTTGACAAGATTAACCGACTCGCACGTGATCCGAATTAGCAGTGCATAGGGGCCGCTAGATCTAAAAGTAAAGGAGCTAGCCTTGCTCAAGCCAGACCAAAAATAATGGGCTGGAAGGAATTAACCCTCCCTAACCGCCAAGGAGACGTTCCCGTCTGAGTAAAGTAACTCCGGCCTTGCCTGAGCTCTGCCGATGTAAGTCTATGAGGGAAGACACCTGGGAGGAATTATAGTTGTTTCACGCGCCAACGAAACCGCTTCCTCACTCCGCCAATCAGCCAACTTTGACCACGATTGCCACACCGAATCTGGACAAAACTCGTAGCGCAGTGAGGCCATCGAATAGATAGATGAATAATATTCATTCACGTTTTGTTGACAGCCTTTCCACAGACAAACAAACACATTGAATATTTCTCACTGTAAAACATCGTCGCTAAAACATTACCGCCATCTGTTGAGTACACTGTGGTGGGCACTACGCTGAACAGATGGCGGTAGTGTGTAAACGTCAAACGCATGGGAATTGACTATGCGCGCCACAGGTGGCGGTACTACCAAATACGATACTTTTAAATTGACCGTTAAATGCTTGTTCGATGATAAACTTGCGAGTGTTATGTCTGTTTGTCTGTGGCTTTTCAGTAGTAGTTTTTCCACATTTTTGGCTAATGGAGAGCAAGGTGTCGAACTGCTGTAAGTGATCCTTCAGCACTGTGTTAGTTGTTCGTGGTGGACCATCATGAATGCGTACATCAACTGCTTCATCTTCTACGTACACAGGAATTTTAAATTCCTGTTTGTCGATCTTCTTACCACGCTGGAGGTGATTACTGTTTTGATACTGTTTCACCGTACTGATATTAACCATTTCGACAAAAACGAGGTTGCGCACATTGTGGAATTGGATGTTAGATCCAGTTTTAGTTCACCGTACATAAACTTTTGCACGGCAGATGCGTCCGGCCGTTTTGGTAATACGCTGAAGTCTACCGCCAGTGTTTTCGCGATTGGCACCCATTGTGACTGATAACAGTATCCATGGGAGAACAAGAGTAACACGTCTTTCGCACTCAGTATTTGGCTGTCAACCGCTAGCAAAAGATACTGTGCCGATAAAATCGATAAAGTAGCATTTTCTAGCTTTCATATGCAAGGCCCATTAGCCATTTTATCTTTTTATATGCAGTAAGGAACTTTGCTTTCACTTCACTTCATATGACAACTTTGAAACCCCACCCCCCCCCCCCTCCCCCCTCGTAGCTTATTTTACTATACTTAGTACATGATCGCCCCTTTCTTCATTTTCTCCATAAGTCCGCATGGGCAGTGATACCGAGTAAAAAATCCAAAATAAAATGTTTACAGGTATATTAGAAATTTCGTTTCTACATTTAAATTAAATTATTACAGAACATGTTTATTAATTTATGTTTTATGTTTGTCTGTTTGCCATCGTGCACGCGTTGTTTTTGTATACTATTTCCACTTGCTTGCACTTGTATTCTATTGTTTCAATTTGTCTTAAATTTTTACGAGTGATCGATCAGGATAAATTAAACAAGATTTAAAAGAAGACTTCTTCATTCAATAAAAAATACAACGAAAATCGAAAATACTTGCAGCTGTTCGCAGTATGTGAATATACCTTTTCATTGAAATATCTTGACCTGGTTGACTTTACGAATGGGTGTGTGTGTGTAAACGTGTATTTTTTTTTTATTAAATTCATTCAATGATTTTTTTTCAATACGGTTTAAGTGTTTGCTTTTACTTTTAACTCATTCGACTTCAGCTTTGACTCTTATAAGGCTTGAGCTCAATTGAACCGGCAGCTGATTGTCGCGTTTGCCGCCACTAGGTCACTATCGCTCCAATTGTGCTAAGGTCTTCAAGTAGATCTTTTTTCGCTTATTTTCCTGAAATACTCCATCTTCTCTTTTCCTCTCTCTGTTTCGAAATCCAATCCCTCAACTCACCGAGAGCATTCCCCACGTACGGATTCTTCTTGCATCTCTGTCTCCTTATTGGGCAGCCTTGAAAAAACGTCTTCCAAACGTCTATGTATGTGTGTGTGTGATAGATCTATATGAATGAATGTTCGAATGTACCTGCTATTGTTTTTATTCTGCGTCCGGATTTTTGTTTTTAGCTTACTACAAATCGCTTCAATTACATTACACGAGCTTTATAGTATTATGTTTAAATGTAGACATGTATTTTAGTTCTGCCCAGTCCAATAAGTAGACGGTGAATAGCCTTGCTTAGTTGCAGTCTTGCCCTGGCTGTTCGATTGTGGTCTTTGACCACTGCTGTTGGAATCCTGAAATGTTGTAAAAAATATCTCAGTACATGGTAACATTTTCGCATGCAATAAAAGCAAAAGCTATCATAGAAATAAAATAATCAAGCATCCATAAACTGGCTACATACAGCGACCGATGTCAGAGAAATTAGTGCTAAATCTTTACGAGCTAAATGTGTAGGTAACTACTTACCCTCATCACACCACTACCACTATTATAAGTTCTATTGTCCATCTTCATCATGCGGGTGCCGACCGAAGAAAAACAAAGTTCCAGCACCAGCGCCAGTCATCGCGCGTTTCGATCGTTTGCACGCATTTTACACGACAATAGGGGGCGTATCGTGCGGCGTATGTGTGTGTGTGTGTTAGGTGGCGTTGATGAGCGAGTAGTTTTATATGCATTTCAGTCAAATCAAGGCAAGTATTTGTTTTTTTATTTGTGTTTATATGGTTTGTATTTGAATAAAAAAAGAAAGAAAAAGAAAAATAAACCGAATAGAAAAATAGAAAAACAAAAGGCACTGAACAACATGCAAACATAATCTACAGCAATAATATACAGTATCCGTTCGATTTTGGCAACTCAACGTCTTTAACATGGTTGTGATCTGCAGCTTAAAATCTATGTTTAATTTATTTTTTCTTAGATTGCCAGTATAATTGTGAAGCTTCGGACGTCATCAGATAAAAAGATTAGCATTTTAAAAATTGCGTGTTGCCAAAATCGAACGGGAACTGTAACTGTACACGAATAATGGGGATAAGGGGATTTAATATAAGTTTAACATATGTAGCAAATACTATACAATCAGATTCAATGTGCCTCACGGGACGGAAGACGCCGTTTGGCATAAAATAACTTGGCATACTGGTCGTTTGGCATAACTAGTTAAATCTCTTCCAGATACAAAAATACATGAATATACTAAGCACACCATTCCACTACAGCATTTTTTAAATAGCTACCCCGGCACTTCCACCCAACTACCGCTCTCGTCTCACTGGCACCTACTTTCAATAGAGATTTTCTGTTCTTTCGAACTTTCGAGCTGTTTTTTTCGTGTTTTACTGTCGCAGTAATTAGGTATTAAGACCTTCGCAATGCTCCTTATATACCGCGCAGCCATTGAAACAAAAGTTCATTATTTTTAATTTGATACCTTGCTAAATCAAGACCAACAATTGAAATGGCCTCATTTTGTAAACAAACCTTGTAAGGCCATTTTCTCGCGAACCGAAGTCCGCAAATGCAAACCAACATAATGAACAGGTAGGGGAAATTCTCCGCTACCCGATTGTGGTTTAGGTTTGCGAATGAAGGTTTCGGTTCGCGAGAAAATGGCCTTACAAGGTTTGTTTACAAAATGGAGTTAAGACCATTTCAATTGTTGGCCTTGCAATATCCGATATTTCCTATTTACCATGTTTATAAGCTTGCGATATTATGCGAATTTAAGTTTTATACGTTTCCATTGATTTATGCCAAACGAGGTAGCCCCCCCTCATATTGAAACACGCATATTATCGAACTTGCATAAACCTTGGACAATAGAGGATTAGAAACAATATGCAGTGTTTTTAATATGTTACCCCTTTTTCACCTACAACAAATTGAAAGCCTCAGTTTCAGATTAACGAATTACATCATGTATGCACTAATTTGGACAATTTTAGCGTCAAACTTAAGATACATTCTTTTTTACATAAATCAGTTTACCTCGTGTATGTCCTACGGTTCTGAAATGTGGAAGGAAAATCTCCAGGATGCGCGTGGTCGTTTTCACAGAATGGCAAAAATGAAATCACACCAGAATTAGAATATACGATCAATGGTGATCAAACCAAGTTTCCAGGAGCACATTGACCACATTCGGACATGTTCCGGGTACCTCCAGCGAAATGGCCAGTTTCTGACTTTGGCTAAAACCCATGCGATATATTAAAATAATCCAAAATGAAGTTCATTGTCAGTCACATGGAGTTCCCAGGACGACATTGGCCAATTCTGGACATGTTTCAGGTGCCCCGTGGAAGTGGCCAAAAAGACACATCAAATCACATGATAACTTAAAACTAAGATGATCGTCATTCGGTTCAAATTGCACCAGCAGGCAAAGGCTGACGTTGAGAAAGCGACATTCATCAATCGAGCAGATCCACAAATAGATTTTAAGATCATCAGCACGCGATAGTCGTGAACCTTCGATAACCAAATTCACGTCATTGATGTAAAGTAAGAAGGTCATTGGTCTCAAATGACTTCCTTGAGGTATTCCTAACATTGCTAGAAAAATAAAAGACCGGCAGTCACCAATGGCCACCACCAACTGTCGATCATCAGTGAGATAAGAGCGAAACTATTTCAAGAGGTTACCGCTAACCCCAAGTCTGTGCAACTTGACAATCGCGATGGCATGATTTACCTTATGGAAGGCTGCTGACAAAAGTCGATGTAAATGACGTCTGTTTGAGCCCCTTCAATCATGCTAACCGTGACATACGATGTCCGACACTGCAGATTAGTGGTAGTAGAACGTCCGGAAATGAAACCGCTTAGGTACTGCTTACAATGTCAATTGCAACCAGAGCTAGACCGGAGAGTGGTACATTGCATGATGCTGGGTAACGTGCATAAGAACGTCTATCAATGGTTGTTGGGCTCTGCCCTGATAGACGATTTGCGACCTCTGTGCACCTGAACTCCGACTCTTACCTCCGCGCGGTGCCCGGTGGGATTGCTGGCGGTGATATTTGCCGTCAGTAATGTGAACAAGAACGGGGTATCATCGTCGTCACTAATGCACTATTGTTTATAATTCGCTAGTGGCAGTGATGATGATGACAGGTTATAGCCAACTCTAAGTAGCCCGTTATTATCGCTACCTGCACACTATTTTTATATCGCTGGAAACCAGCAAAATTTTGCTGGATTTTGCCGAGCTGTAAAACCAGCAATTCTTCCAGCAAAATATTTTTGCTGAACGACCAGCAAATTTACCTTACATAAAAGTGACAGCTGTTTACTGGATATCCAGCAAATTAGAGTGGCAATGATATTGCTGAAAGACCAGTTATTTTATACAAAACAATTGAATTGGAATTGGTTTTCAAACTGATATAAAACTCAATTGTATTTGGTAATTTATTACTTGCATGAACATTTCACATTTCAATCACATTGATTATTCACTTTGTGACGTTGAATTACTTTCAAAGTTATTCATAATTTCGTTGGATTTATCGACGGTTTTTAAATTCATTTGATGTTCAATCCGGCAATCTTTGCAGCGAGCTTTGCAGCTACAGATATACAGAGAATCGGTGTAATCCATATAAATGTTGAGTTCTCTATACATTTGCGAATATTCTAATTATATTTTACCGGTAATTCATGATTAGTTGCTCTCTTCAATAGAAAAACAGAATACGCGGGAGAGTAAGCGGTCATGATTTTGACGTTTCATACAAGTTACTGAGCATCCAGCAAAATATCTCAAATTACTGAACATGCAGCAAGATATAGTTTTGCTGGAAGCCATTCAACAATTTGTTTTGCTGGAACTCAATTCCAAAATTTGGTGTGTGGGGATGCTAATCGGCTTGGTGCTGGTTGCGATTAGGCCGTCTTGAATGAACTATATCCACCTCTTTAAGGTTGTTTGTTTAAAGAGACGTTAATAGATGCAGGGCTGTTACAACAGGCGTGGATTTCGCGATTTGTCGCGGATTTGAATTTTCAGTCGCGAAAATCGCGGAAACATTAAATAATGTCTCGAAAATCGCGAAGGGACTGATGTGCTGTCCCAAAAATTGTGGAATTCATTATAACCTTTCCGTCCCGGATTATTTTGCTGTCATCAATTTTGTTGCTCATTTGGCTCTCAATTTTTTACCGGTTCAAACCAAACACCGTATAAATAAAGGGTGTCCACGATGAAATTGCCACACTATGAAATTGCTCTAACTTTTTAACCGTTGGGTAGAATTTAATGAAAATTTGGGTGGATTTAGTTCATAGTGCATTATTTACATCCTGTGATCAAAACTCGCGGAAATGGAGTCGAAAGAACAGCTCGTGCGTGATAAAATCTTGCGCATTCATTACAAGAACAAGGATCTCTCGCATCGTTCCATCGCTAAAACGTTGGGAATCGCGAATTCCACGGTGTCGCGAGTGATTAAGCGGTTCGAGGAACGGTTGACCACCGATCGGAAGCCCAGAAGTGAAGGAAAAAGTATTCCGTACAACACCAAAAATCACAACCACGTAGTTGGGGCCTTCAACCGAAATCCGAACGCCTCCGTTAGGGATGTAACTAAGAAGCTGCACCTAAGCCGAAGTTTTGTCCAGAAGGCCAAAACTAAGGCTGGGCTTCGAACGTTCAAGGTACAAAGGGCCCCTAATCGCGACGAGAAGCAGAACAAGTTCGCCAAAACCCGTGCCAGGAAGTTGTACCTCAACATGCTGACGAAAGTTGAATGCTGTATCATGGACGACGAAACATATGTGAAGGCCGACTTCAAACAGATCCCCGGCAACCTGTTTTTCACGGCCAAGGATAAGTTCAGCGTTCCGGAGCATGCCCGCACTCAGAAGATGTCCAAATTTGCGAAGAAATTCCTGGTTTGGCAAGCCATCTGCACGTGCGGGAAGCGGAGTGCACCTTTCGTGACCCAGGACACGATGAACGGACAGGTGTACATAAAAGAGTGCCTCCAGAAGCGGCTGCTTCCTCTCCTGAAGGCCCACAACGTCCCAACAATCTTCTGGCCGGATTTGGCCTCATGCCACTACTCCAAGGACGTGCTGAAGTGGTATGCGGACAATAAGGTCAATTTCGTGCCGAAAATGTTCAACCCTCCCAACACTCCGGAGCTCCGCCCCATCGAGAAGTACTGGGCGATTATGAAGCAGCACCTTCTTAAACGACCTAAGGTAGTGAAGACAGTCGAGGAACTGAAGAAAGTATGGGTTTACATGCAAAAAACGGTTGATTCACAGGTTGTGCAGAATCTTATGGCCGGGGTTAGGGCCAAGGTGCGGGCATTTGCGTATGGACTGTAAATAAAATACGAGTAAAATGGTAAAATGAAGTTTAATAGTTATTTCTCAATCCCTGGAAATTTGATGGCAATCGGATGAAAACTCGAATTTTGCGAATCAATTTTGTGTGTGGCAATTTCATCGTGGACACCCTTTAATAGAGAAATGATCTCAATTCAATAGGTCACACCTGATTTACACGGAAATACCCTGAGGTCTGTCCAATGTAAGTCATTTTCCTTTTTTTTTTCAATGTGAACATAGCGTTTTTCGTTGTCAAATCATAAACGAATCGTATATATGCGAGTAAATGCCATGATATTCTAAGTTCTCCAAATCGTCCTGGAGTTCAGTTGATTTTTTCTACTATATAAACCAAGACTCCAATAATGTCTGTAGTATCGAAATATGTCCAAACAGATTCAAAGTGTCAATCTGGATTGTACCCGACCTATTGCTACGTATACAAGATGTTATAGGTTCTGAAATCAATCTGGAGATCAGATTATTTTTCTACTACATCACCCAAGACTAATTCAAGATCTGTAGTATCGAAATATGCCCACACAAAATTGCAGTGTCTATGTGGATCATGCCAACCTATTTCCGTGTATGCCAAATGTTCTAGGATTTCCAAATCGGTATTTCGATATTACAGATATTATCCTAGTCTTTGTTGACCTAGTAAAACAAATCATCTGAACTGCAGGACGATTTGGAGAACCTAGATCATCTGGTATTCGTGGAAATAATTAAACATTATCCATATAGACACTATGAATCTAAGTAGAATAAATCATCTGAACTCCAGAACGATTTGGAGAACTTAAAACATATGGTATACATGGCAATAGTTCATGCATGATCCACATAGACTTTGTGCATCTATCTGGAAATATTTCGATTCTAAAGACATTGTCCCAATCTCGGTTGATGTAGTAGATCAAATTATCTGAACTCCAGGATGATTTGAAGAACCTTGAACATCTGGATTACTCGGAAATAGATCGTGCACCTTATTGGACATTTTCCGATACTACAGACATAATTGCAGTCTTGTTTGATCTAGTAGAGCAAATCAACTGATGTCCTGGACGATTTGAAAAACCTATAATTTTCGGTTTACATACTAATAAGTCGTGCATGATCCACAATGTCACATATATACGCTTCGGTTATGATTTGACAGCGAAAAGTGCTAGGTTAATATTAGAAAAATAAAAAAAAAATAATGAAAATGTCTCACCATTGGAAAGAACCCAAGGAATATCCGTGTAAATACACAACCGCGACGTGACCAACAAGTGTGACTTATGAAGCTCTGGTAATTTCTCGATTATGTGCAGGGTGTTTGGTTTGAATCGGTAAAACATTGAGAAAACTAGAGCCAAATTAACTACAACATTTAGGACAGCAAAATACGTCAAGAAAATTTCCATTTCAAATGAAAATGCATTTTTTTAAATAATGTTTCATCATAACTGGGCCGGTATTATTCAATAGAATTTCATAATGTAAGGGTGTTTTATTATGTTCACTAATTACTCAGAATTTATACTATACATAAATAACTGAAGATGATACAATGTAATTTAAAAAAAATAAAGGTTACAAACGATACTCCTTTAGCTCAGTCGGTAAAGGCGCAGCTACAAAGCAAGTCTGGAGGCAAGTGCTGGAGGCGACTGAGTTCAATTCACGTCCGGTCTTTTAGTTTTTCGGCTTGGAAAATTCCTCTATTTTCTTGGGCATAGAAAGCTCTCAATTAAAATGTGAAAGTACTTCAAAGAACACTAAGTTGAGAGCAGGCAAAAATCTAATATGCTAATAAGCTTGAAATGCCATGTAGTAGTATACAAATGCTATTTTTAGGCAATGAAAATTTTTTTTTTGGCGCTGTTTAGTATTTGAAATTGCGGATTTCTTTTCAAAAATCGCGGATCAAATTTAGAAAATCTTGTAACAGCCCTGTAGATGGAAGCTCGTAAATATGTTAGAGAACAAGCGGCAGACCTCCTGAGGGAAGCGACTTCGCCGTACAACATTATTGATATTATCGGACCTACCGACTCTCTGCTCATTTACGTACTTCCAGAAAAACTTCGATTGCGACTTGAATTTGCTCTGAATCCCTCGTTGATAACGCAAGTAGCAACGACGACGAATAAGTCAGTCGCTTGAACTATATCCCGCGTATTTTTACTGAAAAGTACCAACACGTCAATTGCGTGAAAATATATTTTACAGACGGGTCCCGTCTCAATGGATCCACTGGCTTCGATGTCTTCAATGATAACTCTAGCGCCCTTCAGAAACCTTGTTCCGTTTTTGTTGCTGAGCTGGCAGCAATCAACTTCGCATTGGGGTTGATTTCCAACCAGCCCGCAGACCATTACTTCATCTTCTCAGATAGTCTCAGTTTGATTGATGGTATTCGGTCGATGATACCAGGTAGGCACTCATCTTATTTCCTATCAAAGGTAAGGGAGCAGATGAGTGTGCTGGTCGAAATCCCAGTCACAGGAAGGCGAATTTTATGACAGGCAAATTTCACACGATGAATTTTATCATTTAGTGCGTCAGAGTACCCTTTCGAGTTGGGAATTGGGACGATAGAAATCTTGGACGGTGGTTACATTCAATTATTCCTAATGTTTCTTCGAGAGCGTGGTTTAAAGGCTTGGGCTTAAGTCGTGACTTCATTCATCGCTAGATGCGCATCTCAATAGAATAAGCCTCGTGGACAGCATCATCTGTCGGTGTGGAAACGGTTACGATGACATCGATCACGCAGTTTGGCAATGTACGGATGCTGACGCCGCCAGAAAGCGACTTTTGAATTCCCTCGAGGACCAAGGAAGACAACCCTATATCCCTATCAGAGACGTGTTGGAAACCCGCGATCTCTGCAATATGCAGTCGATTGGTGTGTTTCTGCAAATGTCTAGTATAAGAATTTAATTCCTTTGTCTTTTGTCTCTCTTGTCCTCGATTAGTCTCATCGTCGTCGCCCACTGGTCACCATAGCCGGTCGAACTCTAGACGAATCTAGAACCGCACTACCGTTCATACTGGCGACAACGCTCTGATGAGACAATTAAACCCCACCCAAGCTCCTCCTCTGATCCTATCTTTCGACAATGTACCCTTCTAACCTAGGGTAAGCCACTAGTATTCGGCGCAACTCCTACTAAACTTAGAAATAAGTGAATTCTGTTAAAATCATTGAACAAGAATTATCGGCTCCGTAAAGCTAACGCAATTGAGCCTTCCAAATAAACGAACTAGATAAAAAAGACGCTCAGTTGAGCCTAACGTACACTGAGGCAAAGGAACGTTAGTATTCCATAAGAAGCACTCGGCTTTCCGTAACAACATGCTTGCTTTTGAATTTATATTTTTTGTATTCAATGTTACTCGGTTCCGTTGCATTGTTTTTACGACATTTGAGCAAATAAGCGGATTGAAAAAATAATGCCGAAATATTAAAAAAAGCGTAATTTCCAATCATGAAATATTTTCCAACCTTCTGCATCCTGTTTCTTATTCTATTGCCCAACTTTCGACGAATAAAAATCCGATGTTCATGCAAGTTCGATGAGATTCACGTTTCAACTTTCAATACCCCGAGCGTATAATCTTTCTTTATAAATAGTGGGGTTGTGTCATTTTAGTAATCCGCATTAAAAAGGAATCAAAATTAAAAAAAATCATATTTTAACTTTTTTCAACAAGTACGATTACATCTTTAACAAATCTCCCACTAAGCACCACTCAGGCGTTCGTTTTGTAAGAGGCGAACAGTTTTCGGTAGATGTAATTTCCAAACATTCTTTTGGAGCATAGATTGTTTGCTACATATGCTACATATATTTGACGTTTTTAGTGTAGTACTATCACTCTACTTGAAACTACAACTAGTAAACACAATTTGACTGCCGCACTTCTAAAGCAAGACTAACAATCCTACAACAACGTTTCTCATACATTCAGCGTGTGTGAGCGCGAAAACAAGAATAATGCTCTCATACCTGATGCATCGCTTGATGCATATTGATGTTGTGGTGCGTCGGAATCTGCGGAATATAGAGATGCTGTCCGTAGGGCTGACCGGACGTCGCACCAGCAGTCTGTGTTCCGGCTATGTTGTAAGGTGGCGGAGTGCCAGAGTGAAACGATTGTTTCTCGTACGACTACAAAAAAGAAAATAAACAGAGGGCAAACCAAAACAGTATAGCAAGTGTGCAACGAATGGTGGAAAATACAATCTATTACGTGAATGGGTGGAATCTAAAACCTTACATTGACTTTATTTAGCGCGACATGGCTTTTGCCATACATTGAAGGCGCAATGTCCGAACCGCTTCCTCCTGCCGACTGTTGGTTCGACACAGTCTGTCCCTTGGACTGCTGTCCAACGCCGGACGATGGGTACGGATTCTTGTTGTAATCCTGCCCCGTCTGACTCAGCGCATCGTAGCCACTAGTTCCATAACCACTGTTGTATGCCGGCTTTTGGAACTGCCCTCCAGACGTCGCATTCGTCGCCATTGGTTGCTATAGAGGTTGTTGAAGATTTTGTGTTGTTATTGTGGCATTGATGATTGTGGTTTTTGAGGTTTGAGTGAGAAGAAGTACATGCAAAAAAGACAACAAGTCAAAAATCTACGATCGAATACTAAATAATCAAACTAACTACTAACAGGAGGATAAACTGCTGGGGTGCCATATTGGAAGCCGCCGGGCATCACATTGCCGCCGTAAAAATAAGCGTATGGCAGGTTCAACATAGGACCACCAGACCCTGTTTGTTGTGACATGGTACTTGGAACATTACTAACAGGAGACGAGTTGTTGTCGGTACGTGTGAACCGACCATCGGACATGGTTGAGTACGCGACGGAACCGAGGTTAGCGTCGCGCACACCGGCCGCACCGAGACTCGTCGGCGTCTGGTAGTTCATATCGTAGTATCCAGGCACATGTGACATACGCTGTTGAAGCATTTGCAGGTCCTCGTACGAGTAAAGTGGCTGCTGGTAGTACGGCACTCCGGGCTGGATGAACGGGCTGACCATCGGTATGTTGGGCACCACGCCGGTTCCGCTGCTACTGCTGCTTTTAGCTGTGGAATTGGTCTCTTTAGTATTCGTTAAACCAAGCGATGGTGAACTCATACTTGTCGTGGATACCACGGAGCTATTGGGCAGCGAGGACGATGAACTCGACACACTGTTGTTGTTCGCACTGTTGTTGTTGGCCACCGTACTGGACGAAACACTGGAATGAAAACTTTCATCAATGAGGTTCACACGGGACAGTCGATCGGGGATATTGGAGGAAACGAAAAAAAAAGCTAATATTTTGGTAAACATAAAGCTAACAAATCAATCGCAAATCAAACTATTGCTCACCTGTCGAACTGCGTAGAAACGGGAGTGTCCTTTAGCTTGGAACTGCTAAAGTTACTATACTGTCCGGAGGAGGTGCTGGTGCTGCCAGAATACCTGATTACGTTCCAATTGGGTCCGAGAAGCATCGAGGACGCAGACACACAATACATAGGATTTTTTTTTGGTTTGTAAGCAGGATTATATGGTGATTTGATCAATGATAGATTGTGTTGGTAAGGCATTTGGTTCGATCACATACAAGGTTAGCGAAAAACAAACATGAAATGTAGAGAGAAAATAACACATTGTTAGATTTTATTCCGTTCAGTAGGCACTCAAATCATGTAGTAGATAAATATTGAAAACTGAAAAAATAAGAAAACATAACATGCAAAATGTACCTTTAACGTCGGAGGAAGCTCTTTTCCAATAACAGTTTCAAATAAACTGTTCAAAATTCCAAACCAATTACAAGATACTATGGTATACGCGTCCTTCCTTCATGGCAGAATCAAAAATATCTATTCTGCATTCTGCTCTACTCAGCTCAGTAGATTTAATTACATCAACAGGCTTAATCAAATCCTGATCATTCTCCCAAAAATGTGAGCTCACATTTAGATGGCCCTTTGAAGTTTATATGCAAATTACTACGGGAAAAGTGAACTTTTTTTTCTCGTCGTCCTAACCTTTTGCCATAATGATTTGCGGGTAAACTTGCTATCTGTAGGTAGGGGAAATGTTGGCTTCGGCAATACCTTTACCTATTATCGACCTTAAGAGCTCAATTTTGGTATGTGGATACATTGTGTCTCAGAACATCTATTGGCCAAATTTGAGTGCTCTAGGACTTTGTTTACCCCCCTGACGATAATAGGTTAAGGTATTGCCGAAGCCAACATTTCCCCTACTTAAGTGAGCTTTTGTCAGCTACAGCTTTGCTGACGACCACATTTTAATTGAACGTCAATAAATATTAATTATTAATCGAAGACACCATATCTTGAGAGAAATGCTGTAGCGTTGAACTTGACCAAAGATGCACTGCCTATAATCCCATATCAGTCCCATATGGAAAAAGTAGGCATTGAGAAAATTGCAGTCGAAGTTACGAAGTGCAATTTCGATGCAAATATTTGATAAATAATAGTAAATTAATTGATAATTTCTTCAAGTTAAAATCTGTTGCAATGAAGCTTGCATGTTTTGTTATATCAGCGAAAAATATGGCAATTCAAAAAGCAGATCGTTAACTTGAACTTTGGGCGATTGAATTTCAGGATAGGATTGATATGCGATTATTTTGCTTGATGGGACAAACTGACCTGATTTTTCATGATCAAAGTCCATAGTTTTATCACATAATATGAAAGCAGATGCCAATTGATAGTGGATAGCGTTGTTATCTCAAAATTGACGAAAATCCATATGGGACTGATATGCGATTATAGGCAGTGCAAGCAGTATATAGGAAAACATATTAAACCCCTCTTCTCAGGTTGGAATCTATGCTATCTAATAAGATCCAGAGCCTTTACCTTTGAGAGGTAGATGACGCCTTTGCGTCTGTCTCGTAGTGGTCATATGAGAAAACGGAAGAGTTGCCAGTCTTCTTGAACGAAATTTGGTTGCGGTCTGGATGTGTAGGAGACAAATTTGTATGGGAAAGTGCATGGTAAACGAAAAGAAAATATTCATTTGCTTGTCAAAAACCCACGCATTACTCAATATTGGCCATGGCTGAGGCAAAAATTTGACAAACTATGCATTGTGAGATTTTGGTTTTGCAAACTATATCTTGTGTAAAAAGATACTAACTATTCAGCACTCAGCGTTTAGCAAAGTCGGTTAACAAAATGAAAGCTAATCGATATTAAAGTTTGATGTTGCTATCATAATGAACTCATTGTTCCGTACCGGAAGAAGTCGTGCGAGGTTTGAACATGTGTTTGTGTATTCCTTTGCCTGGCTACCTGCACACCATATACTGCCTTAATGTGATTTAGCTCCACCCTTTTAGTGCGCATAAATCATGTAAATAATAAATCGAAACTGCCAGCTATGCGCCACTGCGTGAAAGTAAACAGGATATGCCAACTTACAGTCCGCAAAAAGGACATAATAAAATCAGATTCCGATGCGATCGGAGGAAAAGTTATCGTTCCAAATAAATTAGTTGTTGAGTGATTAAATTCCGCCTTATTCTAAAGTATCGCAGTCCCAAATATTACGAAGTGTTAAGAAACGTCTAGCAAAACTCGTAACGTGTCTCGGATTCAAGAAGACGAAGTGTCCACAGAAGACAAAGCACCCAGCGACAGCGAGGGATCCTTACCCTCTAGCTTTGGCTTTCTCCCATCGAAGTGTTACAGTCCACTTAGCTCGTTCCCGCGGATGGAACACTCATTTTGATTTTAAATGTTGCAACATAAGTCTGATATGTAATCTTTCATTATGAAGTCAAGCGTTTTTTAATAGAAGCAACTTAGCTTCGTTAATGTCTTGTTTACAACGATTATTGTTTATTTGTATGGTTTAACACATAATTTAAGGTCATTCGTGACTTGTCCGGGGACTCTATCTGCAGTCAATCTGCGTTGATTTCAATGAAAGCAGAATTAGTTTTCCGTTTGATTCAACATTGTACAATTTTGCTCTCGTTTTTTCTGTGTTAACCGTTAATCCATACAAAACAAGGGGGCGACCCCGGCGTAGTGCTTAAAATCTATATCTCTCACGGCAAAGTCACGAGTTCTTACAGCCCGGAGAAGTCACGGAATCGCCCATCGCGCAGAAATCCACTTTGGTCTACTTTAGGATGAGAAAGTTTTGCAACTTTCACTTACTTTAAACTTACTTTAGGGAATCAGTTCAATTCATGATTAACAGTGATGTGTGAAGGAAACTGCAACCACCGACAAACCGACATGAAACTTAAACTTAACTTTCGCTCGAAAATCTATAACGGCCGATTCAAATGTGCAGCGATCCCATCTGTCAAAATCATAGAAACTTTTCATCTAGATACAAATAACTTGTAGAATAGATCACACGTGTTTGTGGCTTAGATAAATGTTTTCCGCGGACACGGAGACCGATGTCGGTAGTGTGCTTTGAGCAGAAATTTCATGGTAATTGCTATGGTCATTCATGTCGGTTTGTCGGTGCTGCAACCATCTCGATATCAATTTACAAACAAGACTTCCTCAATCGCTTAAAGTTTGCAGCAAATTTGAGCTTGAGCTTGATTGACCGCCCACGGTTGCTACTCTGTTACTGCCAGATCAGCTGTAATTACACAGAGAACCAATAGACGATGCTTGGGACTAGCAATCATCCTCAATGTGTAAAAACTGGTGATCTTAAATTAGGCAATACCAGCGCCGGCCGCGCCCGAACACAGGTCAAGAAAGGAATGGGAAGGATTGTGTTGACATGACACTCGCTTTGATGGAAGCCGAGAACACCTCTGCACTTCCACGAGGAATCACTGGGATGTTGGATAAGAGGGTTGGGTTTGCAGCAGGGTTCGTTTTGGTAAACGATAAGCTGAATTGATGTCCTAACGATCATATAACGCGAAGGAGCTTGGGACTAAACCCACGGTCTTCTGCTCAGTAAGCAAAAACGTTTGCCACTAGGCAGACGAGCACCTTTTTAATCACCGAGTTGCTGTTATTACCATGTAGTCATATTAACAAATAAAACGATTGACGAATCTTGAATGGGGATGGGCCTGAGATTAGACTCATGATGTTCTGCTCAGTAAGCAAAAACGGTTGCTCTAAGGCCACCGAGCCCCTCATATCACATAATACAGTTGCTCTAATTTTTGTATCCATTCAAACCCGGAACCAACGACAACAACGAGTTTCGCAAAATACACGATACACAAGCGATTTTACCATAAATCTCTTTGATATGTAAGGACTTGGGAACGCGTTTTTCTGCTCAGTAAGCAGGCCACTGTAACCGACGATCTTTCAAATCCGAAAACTAAAAACTACGAAAAAGTACTTAGGCCTTCCACTTTCACGCGACGTTCAATGACAGGGTCCTATCCAGGATTACATCTGAAAAATCCAAATCTGGCCAACGCCCACCCTAAACCTAAACCTGTTCTAATCCACCTGAAATGACTAACGAATGGAAGACTTTGACTACCCAGCCATGTAATAGTCTCATTCCGTGCCTTATGGCAACTTGATGATTCTATTGCGCTCATCTTCTGGCACCACCCAGGGGAGACTTGGTCCTGTACCCAATGCTTAACTTATCTCCATTCCACTCAGCTACTCGCAATTTCTTGTGATATAGTGGGCGGAATATTATTATATGAGACAATTCAATGCAGACGTCTTTCCAAATTTGGCAGATCGACAGGTAATCGGTGAGTTACCACGATAGTTGCTATTCAACAACTCGACAACGTCCCATCGTCAACGCCTGCTATGAGAATTTCCCATTGCAGACGCCAACGAAACGACGTCATCGAGCTATCGATCAACTACCCTGGTTATCGCCTGGTACCTTATAGCACGATGCTAGGAGGCGAACCGGAAGAATCGATGAGCTACCTCTCCCCCACTTAAAGTTTGCAGCAAATTTGCTCGATTAACTTCATGAAATGAGAAGAGGTTTTTGGCATGGCTCACCCTTAGAAGCAGTTCTCCTACATCTTTCATATGAAACACTTGTCTTTAATCCCTTTATAATTTTTCCCCTTGAGTACAATTTGAGACCCAGCTCCACAAAAAAATATTCCGGATAGTACGCTTAACAAAACACTACTTCAGGGCCAGATTCCTAGGGTGAGAAATCGTAAAAACAACGCTTTGACCTCCAAAATTCAGTAGCTTAATTTCATCGCAATTGCAATACTAAAACTTCATTGAGAAGATAATTTTCCAAGCTAACCAGATTTACAATGAAGAACTAGAATACTGAATATCGCCACTCTATGCTGTCGAGGCAATGTTAGTCTACGTTTCTTGAACCATTATTCAATCATAAAAGTGCTATTCCAAGGCCATTATCGTAAATACTCATTAAGTTTATTCTCTGAGCTAGTCAGAATGTTAAGAACACAATAAGGAACAAGAACTACAAGTGAT